GCTTCAGAAATTTGGAAGATTCTTTTCTTTGAGGAGAAAGCCTGCCTAGGACAATACAGTGAGGCTCTGGGTCCTTGAAAACATGCCCTTTGCTGCCATCAAGTGGCTCTTTGCGGAATTTTTTATGAACATATGGTGTACACCGGCTTCCTTCCTTATACCAGTACCTAAGACATGTATGATCCTGTGGGGAGCTGGGATATTTGAAAACATCAGGAAAGCCTTTCTTGAATTAGAGCTTTATACTGTAGATGCTATAAAAATTCCATGACTAAGAAGTGCTTCCGAAAGATGACATCAAAAAGGGTTTAAAGTGTCAGTTCCTAGAAAAACCTCAACCTGTACTTTACACACCTCTGTTTATTTCGACCTAATAGAAATTTTCTAAATAGAGTGGCTTTAGGATAGCTAGCTGAACACAGATGAATTTTTTTTTAAAGCTAGGAGAGGGATTTATTTAGAATAATTTTTACTAACGTCCCTTGGCTGTGGGGAAAGAAATGGTTTCATGTTTGTTTCTTTCCTATTATCATCTCACTTTCAGCCCTGTATGCAAATGACTCAGCAGACTGTTTAACTGTGATTATTAGAAAACCCTTTTTTTGCCCTTTTCTTTGAGTATCTTCTTATCTCTCTCCTAAGAGATAGTTAAACATCAGTTGAATCAAAAGGTAAAGGACAATTGCTATTTTTAAAACAACATAAACTCAAAATGCTGTGGCATTTTGAGAAGGCAGCAACATTTATCTCAGAGGACTGGTGCTTTTGATTGGAAAATGCCTTAAGATTTCGGCTATGAAAGGAAAAACCCCAGATAAACTGCCATGGACAGAAGTTGAGATGAAAGGGAACTAAATTGCTCTAAATAACAAACCAGAGGAATTCTGGAAGTTATTGGGGAAGGGGCTTCAGAGAGAAGTAGGAACCTGAAACTGGGAGAAAAGAATGGCCAGGGATGGGTTGTTTTTGCTGTTTTTTGTTTTGTTTTGTTTTGTTTGGGGGGGGCATCTAAAATCAAAAGGAAAATGTATATCAAAATAAAAAAGCCACACCTGTGGTTATGAATTCCATGGAAGATTATTGTTTATCACCCAATATCCAGGGTAAGTCAGAGAAGCTCTCCAGATGCTGCCTGTGCTAGTGGTTATGTGTTTTCTAATTCAGGGCCACCTAATGCAAGGGCTTCTGTTTCAATTTCTCACTTAATACGAGATCAAATCCTTATTTCTGGTCCTGACATAGGAATTAAACACAAGTCCCTAAGTCATTGTCTCAAGTGTCACTTCACAGGCTCACCGCCCTGCTTTTCAGATCCTTCTTCATTTCTGGCTTCGGGTTTTTCCCTTCCTCTGGGTAAGCCCAACCGTGCATTTAAAAAGAGTCTGTCGGCTGCATCCTATTTTCGGCACTTCTAAAGATTTTGTATTAGGACAGGCTTCAGGCTGCCTAGTCGACCACCTTGTAAAAAGGAAGTTGTTTATAAAGCGTCTACATGTAAAACCCTGCCCGGGATCAGAGCCTTCCACAGCAGAACCCTCGCCTACAGCTCAGACATTCATAGAAAGATGAATTTAGTTTGGTCTTGGTGACTGACAGACTAAAAGAAGTTGTGATAGCAGCAGTTTGGTGGTGTGAGGTGTAGAGAGATGGAAAGAATCAAAGGTAAGAGGAGACTTCCCTCCGTGGTAGGAAATACGAATGACATGAACCTCAGTCCCTTCTGGCCCAGCCAGCTAACTGGCCTCTTTCCCCTCCATCTGACTGCCTCTCTGTTGCCTTGCACAGATGGCTAAAGGCGTAAGAGTTAGTGCACACTCCAGGAAAGCCACTGTACTGAGAGAGCCAGGAGCAGGCAACTTGACTCTTATCACGTTAGCTCTGGCTAACACTCTTGAGGTTCTAGTCAGATAAGCCTAGGAATTGTGTTCTTTGTAACAAGGAATCAAAGGGCTCTGGCTTAGTCTAAATTTACACCTGATCCTAAAATGGGGGGAAGGAGTGGGAAGGAAGGCCAATCATTCTAGGAAAACTCCTTTTTCCCTCTTGGAAACCCTACACCCATTCATTGTAGGCCTGAAGGTCTAGCCATCGTAGAAAATAGTTCTAGACCAATATTCCTAGAGAGATCCACAAACCCGAGTATACTGGAATGCCCAGTGAACATCAGATTCATCGTCAAGAATCCTGAGCTCTCCTCTACCAACAATCCTCTTGTATGAAAGCAGTCGACTGTGATATCTGTGCCTACTGTCCTTTCCACACCCTCTGGTTCCATCATTCCCTACAAAGGATGAGGCAAAGCCTCGTGGAAAATCCCCAAAGCACAGTTGTATCCATTTGCTCTAGAACTGATTTTGCTCCAAGTTTACATTCCTACCTTAAAGTGTTCACTGGCATGGGTCATAAAAGTTGGCAACAAATCTATACTAATAAAAGGGTAATATACTAATTAGACCGGACATCTTCCGGACCACCTTCTGGACAAAGCCACGATCAGGATGGCAGGGGAGAGTAGTTAGGGTGATCAGGCCAGCAGGGGAGAACAGTTAGAAGGATCAGGCCAGCAAGGGAGAGCAGTTAGGGTGATCAGGCCAGCAGGGAGAGCAGTTAGGGCAATCAGGCTGGCAGGGGAGAGCAGTTAGGGTGATCAGCAGGCAGACAGAGGTGATTAGGGGTGATCAGGCAGGCAGGGGAGCAGTTAGGGGCATCAGGCAGGCAGGCAGAGGTTAGGGGTATCAGGCAGGCAGGCAAGTAAGCAGTTAGGAGCCAGCGGTCCCGGATTGTGAGGGGGATGTCCCAGGTTGGAGATGATGCAGGCTGGGCTGAGGGACACACACCCCCTGTGCAGGAATTTCGTGCACTGGGCCTCTAGTCTTTTATAAATACAAATGAAATTATTTTTATCTATAGAACTAAATAATTTATTCCTTGCTTTGGATTTTTTTTAAGTGGCACCATTAAGATGTCTTTTCAGTAAATGGTCTTTTTCCAACAAAGATGAGGCATATTGATGAAGAGTGCAAGAGATGCATAAGAATATGGAATGCTGTCATTAGTCTGAGAATCAAAGAAAATCACTTTCAATTTTAGGTAAGATCAATACACATAAATTCTAGACTAATTCTTCTCTTATTTCCTGCACATACCTCCTTTGTCTTTCAATTTTCAAATTCAGATTGAGTGAGAAAAATGTAAAGAAAGGCTAATGGGCATATGGTGAGCAACAGGATTGACCATGGATCAAACCTGCTAGCTGAAGAGCCTGTTATATTCACAGTTTAATTCACAGTTTAATAGCTCAAGTCCTCTATTATTGCTTAAAATACAGATCTAATTATAATGTAACCTTAGACAAGTGACAAAACCTCTCTGGCCCTCAGTTTCTGGCTCTGTAAAATGGAGATAATAAAAATACTTATTGCATAGGGTCATCATGAGGTGTAATACAGACAATTCATGCCTGGTACTGTGTGCTCAATGACTGGTGGCTCACATTAAGATGAGTTTTATTATTAGCTATTGAGTGCTTTACAACATGCCAGGGATTATCTATTGTTGCATTTAATTCATTACTTTTAAATCTGCCTTTTCCCTCAGAACAAGCACTTCTGGTTAGTTTATTAGCTCCATATTTTTTAAAAATAGAATTGGATGAAAAGTCAACTTCTGAGCAAAGGATATATTTTATATACTATTTAATGTGTTATTTGCAGCAGCAGCCTTAAAAAAATGTACGTTAGAACTGGGTCCCTTTGTCCTCTGGTTCCAGCAGTGAGCGTGCACTACAGGTCCAGACCTTTGGCTGTGCTCGGTGATTCCAAGAGCACCATTATCACAGGCATAGCTCTGCGGCTGAGGCTTATTCTGAGTAGCTGTGCGTTTGAGTGTAAAACTCCACCATTTAAAAATAGACGCAGTATAAATGGAATCTTTTAAAGCTCAGGAAATAATTGTAGACAAAGCATTCTAATGTTTAAAGCTTGAACATTTGATCTAAAATCACATTCTTGAATGTACCCCTTGTTAGTATAGATGAAAGTGTAAAACTTGTGAAATACCTGCTTTCCCTTTACTATTCAGCTATCCCTCTCAGCATTGAACAGCGGTGGCTAAGACATACATATAACATCAAAGTAATTGCACTATAGAACTGGCCGACAAGCACATCAAAGTAATTGCACTATAGAACTGGCCGACAAGCTTGCCTCGCCTGTATCTAGAAGGAAAGGATATAACCCAGCGTCCCAATCTATGGGAGGATAGATCAACACCTTCCTTATGAACTACTTCAGTGCACCACAGATATCAAAAGCAGCTTATTCTTGTCACTAATCTAATTCTTACCGCTATAGACCTAGTAATTCTCCTTATTTTCTGCCCTTCAAACTTACCAAGAGCACACCAAGAACTGGAGAAAGGTGAAAATAATCAACAAACTACTTGGCAGCACTTCTTCATGCCATGGTGATTTGATTAGTGATTAGATAAGTATAGATCACAACCCTGGATTTCATACAGGGTGGCCACTTCTAAAAGGATCCATTTATAACAAAGGTCTTTCTGTTGGAACTGTCAAGAGAGGTGTTTTTTTTTTAATGCCACCAGCATCAAACACTTTTACTTAGCCAGGCATTGAAGAGCAATGGAATTGCAAATCTGGAGACCTTCAGCTCAACCCAGCCTTACTAATCTAGTGAGTATAAACAACTCAATAATATTTCCTGATTCTCAGACTCTCTGTCACTGTAATGAAATTAGTAGCTACCCTCAAACTACCATCACAGAGAACCTAAAGAGTAAGAAACACAAGGTAAGTATTGTGAAAAGCTTCTGGGAGAAAATACTTGAAATGTCTTAAGAAAATGCATATAGTATTCCTTCTTAGGGTAAAATATTTATAAAGGACATTTAGCCTACTAAAAAATGAAGAAATTCTCTCTGGATTCTTATGAGTTTCAAACATAACACTCACCACAGTAGAAAACGGAACTATAACCTACCCCATGTTCCCATCCATGAGGAGAATCATGTTGTATATGTGAGAAAATATGAAGAGAAAGAGAATCGTGCTGAAGAACATTGTCATCCACGACCCGTGATCCTCTCGAAACATTTTTAACCGGAGCAACTGACCTGAAATATAAATATTATTAGTCAGTATATATCATAACTCAAAATTCTTTCATCTTTGCTTTGTTTTAGCAAATATTTATTATCCCACTACATTCTGAAGTCTCTGCTGTAAGACTGACTTATTGGTGAAATCACTATATAATGTCCTTTTTGCTGCTCAGAGATAAGTCCAAAACAACCCCTATATCATCCTGGAACAAATGATACTAACATGAGAATCTAGCATACAGAGACTGTTCATTATGCTGCATGAAAACAAGATGGATTATAGCACCTACCTGCGATAGTCTATTTCACAAATATGTTTTGGGTTTATTCATCTGAAACTACTTAAGACAAATGGTAAAGACGTTGCATAAATTCCATACAATTCCCTTTTGGTTCTAGAGACCCACTCCCGACACTAGCCAGACAATAAAACCAAGGCAGACCTCCCTTATGTGAGGATCCAATTGCTGAAGGTGCATGGAAACTTAAAATAAAAGTAAAGTCTCTATCACAAGAGAGAGATGACTCAACTCTTAGCTAAAATATCCATACCCATATACAAGTATGTGTGTGTTGGGGGCGGGGGGAGGATATGCATGTGTTACAGAGTTTGGTGTGGCTCCCAGCAAAACAGTTTCCACACTGAGACCTAAAATTCCAGTTACAAAGATAAATGCTAAACTTTGAATGTTAAAATGTAAATATTTCAAGGAGAAAATGCATTAAGAAGAACACTAAAGTAAAAATTATTGACATCAGAATTAGTTCAGAAAAGTGTTTGACATTAATGGTAGAGAATAGAAATGAGGGCATTAGTCCCTTAAAGGTGGGGAAGATGAAAAACCATAAATACAGGTAAAAAACATAAATACAGGTCAACCTGGTTTCTCCTAAGATAAAGTTTGTCTATTATACTTATGTCCACTCCTAAGAAAGTGTATGTAAATAATGATACAGGAGATTGTATATGTATAGAAACTACAATTAAAATAGGGTAGGCTTAAAATTTTATAATAGAATTTCTCATTAGAGATTAGAGAAAATATTCTCATTTTATTCATGATAAGACAAAGTTATGAGTACACACACACACACACACACACACACACACAATCTCCATCTGGAAATTGCCTCTCTAGGGATAGACAGTGGCTCTCTTGTAGGTTACTGAGCATAGAAAGATCTTTTAAGATTTAACTGCTAGATTTTCCCCTGTACCTCACTTTTATTAAAACAGCACTTTAGATTTCATTTGGAAACCAGGCTAACAGAAACATTACCCTAGCTAAAACTTTAAATAGAGCAAAAAGAGAGATTTGGTTACATCATTTGGTTTCTTGGCTTGCACAAGAAAAGCAAAGGGCAAATCTGAAAGTCGGGGGGAATGTGGATTGTAACTAAAAGAACATAGAAAACTTCCTACTGAAGCAAAGGAAACTAGCCCTGCAAATTACAACATGATTTGGATTAACTGAATCAAAAAGTATGGAAAGCCCAGGGAAGTCTCCATACAACACAGGGATAGCAGTATCATAAATAGATATTAAGCATAGAATGCTTGAGAACAAAAAAATACATGTCATAAATATGGAAGCGCAAACTATAAGGAATATTATTCATTCATTGAACAAATATTTAATGTGCTTAGTACAGGCCAGCATGGTTCTTCTAGGTGCTGTGAGCAGGGCAAGGAGGTGTTTGAAGTCCATCATCATTTGGATAGTTGCTGAAAACTTGACCTTATTTTAGACCCATCAACTCTCAGTTTTCAAAGTTCCCTTTGCTGGGAGTTCTTTCAGCTTCAAACCAAGACCTATTTGAAGAACTATGGAGACTAGCAATTAGAGTTCCTTGAAAATTTAAATGTGAATCTCCCTCTTAACATATGCATATGTCAAAAAATTCACTAATAATGTACTTTAAAAGTCAGAGAATAATGCTGTTGATTTAAGAGTGCTTTGCAAATAAAACATAGTGAATTAACTATACACTGGCTGAAGTGAGACAGTTAATAAAAAGAGAAATGTGCCGAAACCTGTTTGGCTCAGTGGATAGAGCGTCGGCCTGCGGACTCAAGGGTCCCAGGTTCGATTCCGGTCAAGGGCATGTACCTGGGTTGCGGGCACATCCCCAGTAGGAGATGTGCAGGAGGCAGCTGATCGATGTTTCTCTCTCATCGATGTTTCTAACTCTCTATCTCTCTCCCTTCCTCTCTGTAAAAAATCAATAAAATATTAAAAAAAAAGAGAAATGTTACAGTACCATTTATGCTGTCCTTGCCAAGCTCACTGGTACTAATGTCCATCATTAGAGTCATTAGCACACAAGGGCAGGTTAACTTGGCTAAAATTCACTTGAAGCACAAAATGAAAGTGCTGCAGTATTTCAGGCCAGAACTTGTATGGCCCAAATATGAAGTCAAATCACATCAACCGAGAACTTTAAAATTAATCTGAGGATATCACATGAAAAGGTGTTGTCTCTGCCCTGTAGTGTCACCATACATTTGGTTTGCTTGGGACAGTAGTGGCTTATAACTGTTGTCCTGGCATAATTATTAATACCACCCTCTTCCTTTCTTAAGTGTATGGGTTTGGACAATAAATCAATATGCCACCTTTCCTACAGGTCACGGAATTCAGAATTTTATAACACTTTCCTTTAGAAAGAGTTTCAGGAAATACCTGAGTGAAAATAGTTCTTATAGGTCAGCAGAAGTCAAAGATATCACTAAGAGAAGTACATTTCTGACAGGGTCATAAGTGACTTTTATTTTAATCACAGTTATATTTATAAATCTGAGTGTATATTTATGTTATTCGTAAAATCTATCTTGGACTGTATGAACTGTCACCTTCAATATGGTCAAGGTCATGGAATATAAATCTTAAAACAATCATAAGCATTAAGGTGGAACACAAACCTATATATGTGTTGGAGGTGAGGACTGGAGGGCAGAGACTGACAGCTACAAATACTGCTACAAGTCCACTAAAATGGACTACAACTTAGACTCCCCCCTGGAAATACAGTAAGATTAGGACCACTAATATGTCATAAGATTTTAATAAGATTAAAAGTATAAAAGCATATTAAAAATATATAATGAGCTCACATGTATTATGGAAGACAGAGTTAGGCAAGTACTAGAAAATTATGGAGAAACTACTTCATTTTCTTGGCTTTTTGCTGCTATGTTCTCAACAGCAAAAGAATGGAAAGGAGCATTTCCCGGATTTTTATCCTGAGTTCTGAGTCCCTTTTCTTGAGTAGTGATTCTCACAAGGAGGCCTTGAGCAAATACATAAACTAAACAACCTCAGAAGAGAAGGAATGGAAGTGGTTGTGCTCCCAGGTAAGAGGTGGGGGTAGCCCTACTCCTGGGAAGCTGTGGAAGCAGGATTGGATAGCTGAGGGCTTCTAGCTTCATGAAGGACACAAAGATTGAGGCCTCCAAGGTGGCAGATTCCCTGGGTGCTGGTGAAGGCCAATGTATCAAGGGTCATGGACTTGGAAGTCAGGTAAGGAGACTGAGCTAGTCCCACCCAAGGGAGTAAGGCCAGAAGGGCAGCCACCCACCTTCATTAGGAACACAACAACCTGGTAGGATCCCAGCCACTGCTGGAGAAGGTCACTGAGAGGATTTGACTACCAATTGACCCATGAAATGGACCTGGGCAATCAGAGGCTCCTCCCTCCCTACCCTGGGCTGGGATGTACGTTCTGCCCACCGTTCCCACAGTGGGAGCCATTTGCAAGTATAGGGCTTTGAGAGAGTAAGGTGTTGTTGAGGCCATCTGTATGGTATACAGGACTGAACCCAGCTAAGACCTCTATATAATCTTTAAGATTCTGGCAGGCAGGGTAGAGATCTACTCATCTTGCAGCCACTGAAGACAAACATTGTTTGTAAGTTCCCTTGCTTATTAAAATTGCCACCTACCAATCTACAGTGTAAGGGGCAGTTTCAGATTTTACCTGGGAAGCTCCCAAGGTTGTGAATCAACACCATCTGAAATAGCACCCTAGTGCCCAAGAGGCGGCAGAAGACCATCACCCAAGCACTAATAGGAGAAGAGGATACAGGTAAAAACAGAATGAGGATTTATCTCCAAGACATGGGACTTCTTTAAACTGTAAGTATTTTTTAAAGGATCTGAAAAGTTACCAGTACTGTGCTCTCTGCTCACCTTGGTAAGCAGGAACACACAGCAAGATTTATTTAATTTAGAGAAAAAAGTGTGACATTATACGTAAGACCCTAACCAGGAATTAAAAAGGATAAATGAAAAAAACACTTCCTTCATGAGGACTCCAAACTTATATTAACACTACTATCCATTTAGTCTTCTGCTCCAAAATCTCCTATTATGGTAACTTACACATATACTCCTTGGCCTTTGTAATACCAAATACTCCTAATTCTTTTTTTTTTCTATTTTCCTGATTAGTCTTAGTCACCTTTTTAAGTATCTCTTCTTCCATTCATCCCATAATTGATATTTGTCATGGTTTGTCCTTAGCCTTTGTCTTTATCATATCACTACATGGTCTCTTCCACTCGAGGGATTAACATCCAGTATCTCCAGCATAGACTTTTCTTTCTGAGCCCCGGAATGGAAGACTCATCTGCCCACTGTCCTCCTGAATATCCTGCTGCCAATTCAAACCCCGTTTACAAAACCAAATTCAAAATCTCCACTTCTTTCCCCAACACGCAATATACCATATCTCCAATCTGACCATTTCCATCCCTAAATTCATTTCTACTTTTGATTTTACCATCTTATCACTTTCAAAATAACTCAGAGTAAGATTCACTCTTGAATTTTTCCTCCTGCATACTTTCCATTTCAATCAACAGTTCTAGTATTTTATAATCTGACGTCCATATTCTTCTCTCATAATTTGAGTTCCCATAGTTTCTTAATGGGACCATTGCAACAATCTAACTGCTCTTCCCCACTCTAGCCTTTTCCCATCTCACCTTCCACTTTTCCATTTAAGGAGAA